TTGGATCTTCTCCAGCACAGCATACAGACGAGCGTCGTGCTCCTCCTGTGTTTGGCCCCACACCAGTACATCGTCCATGTGCCAGACGACCCCCTCTAGTCCCTCATTTACCTCAGTTGTCATCCTGTTTTGGAAATGCACAGGGGCTGAGTTTATGCCGAAAGGTCGCCGATTGAAGTGGTATCGGCCAAAGGGTGTGATGAACGTTGTGTACTTGGCTGAGCCTTTTGTTAGAGGTATTTGCCAAAACCCCATGTTTGCATCCAACTTGCTGAATATTTTGGCTCCAGCCAGCTTTCCCAATGTTTCTTCCACTGAAGGTAGAATGTACTTTTCTCGACACACAGACTCGTTCAGTTTAGTTAGATCCACACATATGCGAACAGCCCCTGTCTTTTTAGGCGCCACCACCATGCCAGCGCACCAATCTGTAGGCTCCTCAACTCTGCTGATCAGTCCCAGGTCTTCCATGCGGGACAGTTCCTCTTTGACTTTGTCCATCAGTGGCAGTGGAATCCTTCTAGGCGTCTTCAGAGCAAACGGTTGGGTTAGTCTTTAGCGTGTCCATAGTGACGTTGTCTAGTCGTGCCACTAGCTTCAGCGCTACACTGGCAGGCCTCCCGAGCAATGCTGTTTGCAAACGTCGAATGACATACACATCCTCCATAAGTTATCTCTCTCCTTTCTTCAGCAGCATGCCAGCAAAGCCCACTACGTCTAAAGGATTTTTCCCTGGACCCCAAAGCGGCTTCCTTGGCTTTTGAAGAGCTGGTGGATCTTTGTGCTTATAGACCTCCTTAAACACGGAGTGAGGAATGACTGTAACATCAGTGTCAATTTTGAACTGCACGCTTTTGTTGTTAATGTCAATGTCTGCCATCCACGGATCATTCTCTGCCTCAATGCTGCCTAAGAACAAGCCTTCCTCTTCTTCATTAACCTCATTCACGCTGTTAGCTGCTTTAGACACGCGCATATAATGTCCCATTTTCCCACATGCATGGCATTTCCTTGGCTGGACACTCAGTCTTTACATGTGAAGGAGAACAACCACAGTTATAACACTTTGCATCATTACCCTTGTTGTATTGTGGCTTGGCTTGGTAGCTATTAGCCGATTGAGCTTTGTTTTTAGCATATTTGCTACTGCTCTTAAACACTCTGTCCACTAATTTAGCGTCACATGCCTCAGTTCTATCGTCACCTCGCAGAGAAGATTGTTGCCGTTTCACCTCTTCGCTCTGCCGAGCCATGGTAATAGCTTTTCCCAAGGTAAGGTCTGAGTCCAGTTGCATCCGTTCAGACAGCCGCTTATCCGTCAATCCGACAACAAGCCTGTCTCGAATGAGTTCATCATGTAGCACGCCGTAGCTACAATGCTCCGCTAGTGCATATAGAGCTGTGACGAACGAGTCCACTGGTTCACCTTCTCCCTGTCTGCGCATATTAAAATGTAACCGCTCATATATGACATTTTTCTTGACAACGAAGAATCCTTGAAAGCCATCCCGCACACCTTGGTAAGTGTCTCTCTGAGCCGCTGTGAGAGTCAATCCACGCAAAATATCATCTGCTTCATCTCCCATGCAGTATATCAATGTGTTGACTTGATTCTCTTCTGAGCTACTGTTCAGATTACTTGCCAGGCGAAATCTCTCGAACCGCCATATCCATTTGGCCCATTCCTGCGGTCTTGAAAAGTCGAAAGGCTCCGGTGGCTGGATGCTAAACGTAGCACTCGGTCCCGCCGTGGGTCGCGCTGCATCTCCGTTAGCATTATCGTCTGCCATGTCCACTTTCCTTCCTTTTCACCGTCAATTGGCTCCAAACAATACTTTTTCCGGTCACACTCCATGTAATGTCAACAGGACTTCTGACACCATGTTGTGTTATGCAATAATACACGTGAGTTCAACTGTCACAATTACGGGTCTCTTTATTGGTAGCCCACATGCTAGAACACTCCTAGCTCACATGTCCGTTACCATAACATGTCGTCTCCCTATGACGTCACTGAAACGTGCCCGTAGGGCTTCACTACTATTGGCTAACACACACACACAGCACAATAACACCACAATTACATGTTAGAGAAAGAACATAAGAAAGTTTGACAAAGATGAGGCTGTTAAACGGGCAGCGGAGCCGCTGTGTGTAGAAAGAGAGAGAGAGATGCTGAGCTGCACTGTGCAGCGATCAGCTGATAAGGAGCATAGAGAGAGAGAGTTGCGGTCCGCGGGGCTCGGCCTCCGCCTCCTGTCCTCACAACTATTAATCCCGATACCGGACAATTGTTATTTGTTCTTACTCTGAACCGAGTGTTGCTTCCCAACCCTGCCACTGTGCTACACTTCCCGTCCCGCCCCGCCCCCGTCTAACAGTACAGAAAGCGACGAGATGCATTTCCTTAGGAATCGACAAGCAAAATGTCAATGTATACTACAGTCCATTACTTGACTGATTTGCCTTTTGTGTCAAATGAGTCATCAGTTGTATCCCTGTGTGTAAAGCATTTAATGATATTGAGTTTAATTGCTAATTCATTAGCACAATGTGGTGTTAGCCTAGCTGTGCTAATCTGCTGTGACAAGTAATGCTGCTCTCATGATAAGGCATAATGTGATCTATAATGTCAGTGTGTGTGATGGGATCAGAAATTAAAAGGTTGGGTCTGCAATTTGACTCCAATACATATTTTCTTTTTGGATAGAAAGGCATTAGGAGCTAGGGGGGGGGGGAAATCTAGGGGGGGTTGTTAAGTTTGAATATTAACAAACTTTACGCAGATTTGATGACTTCACCTTTAATCAGACCAAAATTAATTTATACAAATAAAAACAAGAACCACATTTTTCAATATTAGTATGTAAATATTCAAGGGTTCTTTAATATTAAAACTGTATACAGTACATCTAACCAGGTATTAGATCCATGCTAAACATAAGCATGGCTCAACATTAACCATTCGTCCTGTCAGCTAGGTTTATAGAGGGGTTTAAAGGGGCCAGGCTTACTGTCTTCACCAGACTGAGCAATTGTAAAAAACATGTAAAAAATGTACAGGTAAAGAACTGCATTCTTTTTAATGTTATGATTCCCCGTTTCATTTTCTTTTCATCAAGTATAGCAGTCAGTGGATATATTCTTAATTCCAAGTGAAACATAAGCAACTGGAAACAAAGTGCATTGTGTCATAGGGATAGTGACTGGGGATTGCTTCATATTTGTTACATGTAAACAAATGGAACATACTGTTCTGTTGGATAGGTCTGTTTGATACTTCTGCATACCCTGCTCCTGTTTAATTCTAAAAAAACATCTCAATGACTTTGTTGGAAATCGATTACCACCATACATCATATCACAAACAGATCGGTGTTTACTGCATGTATACCTACTAAACTAACAATTAAGGATGACATTACCATCATGACTGCATACTCTTAGTAAACTCAGAAGAACTCTGTCACATATCTACATCCATCATATAACCGTATAAACCACATGACTGCATCGCTCACAATCAGCATTGCCTCTATTAGGCATTTTAATATTTTCCAATATTATTTTAAGGAAAATTTCATTTAATATTGAATAATCCATTTCTTGCACAATAATATCCTGAATCATATTTGTTGCTGGAAATGTGTATTTCCACATGTATATTTTCTATGGAAGAGGATTAGGGCAAAATGAAAAAAATGTTTTGGGGATGTGAAAAAAAAGCCAGAATTATGTGATTAAAGTCAGAATTCTGATTTTTTTTTAATAATAACACTTTGTAACAATACATTCAACTATAAGTGTTCATTCTGTCTGAATAACTCAAAATTAGGTATTTATTTATTCATGTCTTATTACATAAGAATAGATCATATTTGTTAAGTGTTATTATGGGAGAATTACTATTCTTGTGGTACTACTGCCTTATTAGGCCCATATTGAGCAGCGCATTTTAAGACCAACTCATGTACAACAACTTCCTTACTTGCAACAAATAAGCACTAATTAGAGGCTTATTGAGGAAAAACTCTCAACTAATGGCTTATTACTTGTAGAATATGGTCATGTAGAATAAGGCATTAATAAGTGTTTTATAATGACTAATAAAGGGCCAATATACTGCTAATATGCATGTTAATTAACAACTAGTTGATGGTGAATTTGTGTACCTTAATATAAAGTGTTACCATTTTTTTTAACTTTTGAATGCTATTTTATTTCAGAAATATTTCTGACTGTTTATTTCTAGTGTCTTTATTTCTCTTACATTGACTTGTTTTTTATGCTGCTGCAATGCAAACACCTCCCAAATTGGGATCAATAAAGTATTTATCTATCTATACCTGTATATCTATCTAATATCAATATGTCAGTGTTACATTTTTGTCTACAGTATGCCTACATTATTAATGTAAGATCTTGTGTTTTTTATCCTCATAATTATTTTAGGAATGTATGCACTGCATATATCAAATCAACATTTATACAAAACCCATTTTATAGAAAATGTAATTGCAAAATAGGGCAACTGTCCTCCTGAGCTGACAGCAGTTTCCTCTTGTTCATTATGTAACGGTTAATTATTAAATCATCTGCCTGGCAGTATGAGGGGCTGCAATGCATTTTGGGGCAGTTCACGATTAAGCTCCCCTCTCATCCTTGCAAATTCCTTCCTATTTATACATCCGGGCATTTATGGCATACACAAATCCCCATACTTTGAATTAGGAACAAACTTTACACTCAACTCTTAGTCAGTATTAGAATGAATAGAATGTAGGTTTGGTATTTAGAACACAGCCGATGTCTTTTCTCACAGCTCTGAAGCTGGTGCCCTCGTGCTGGATCAGTGCTGGCTCAAACTCACTGAGTGATAAGAGATCTGCATGTGGGTCACATCTCCATGTTGGTTCAGGAACTGTAAACCCCCAGTATTAACAGCCCCGAGCCAAACACCAGTGTCAGAATATGAAAGCAGATTATTGAGAGGTGCTCACCTGCTTGACATCATATCCCAGAAGAACAAAGTTTAGATCTGGAGAAACTGCAAACGTTGAGGCCTTAAAAGTTGCCTATGGGAAGGAAAGTAGATACATTCTTTTAGTTTTCAGCAATCCAGTTTTTTTTTACTTTCTGAAACTACTTTAGAGATACAAATGCCAAACAATCATTATCTAAAAACAAATCTTAACACATTCTCACGAAACGAGATCTAAGTAAAAAGCTCGACCTCAGCCGGGTCAGAACACCTGCTGACGGCTAACACGTTGCCATGGTAACAATGACACGTGATGCTAGAAAAGCAGACATCTACAAACGTAATAAAATGTCTTTCAATATTTTTTACTTTTTGTTTATAGCTGTCAAGTTTCCTGAGTGGACATGTGTACTATCCTTAATGAGTGGAGACACAGGGCCAGCACTTACAAACGTTGTGTTCTTCAGCAGCAGCTGGGTCTCGTTGCTCTGTGTGTTGGCTTTCATGATGTCTCCATCCCAGCTCCGGAAGATGATTTCCTCATCTAAGAGAGACACAGGCATGCTCAGAGAACTGCAAACACTTGTCTTTGGTCCTCTACGCATTTTCTAAACCTACTACCGTTAATATTATTCAGTTTGCTGAAAAAAACGACATTTGTTGACAATAGAGGTCACAGTAAGGCTGTCTCTACATGATAAGCAGACGTGAATGCATTCACCTATTCACAATAGTACACTTGTTGCCTTGGCAACCGCAGCCAAATGGATTTGCTGTCATCTGGTGCTCAAAGTTTGAATTATTTACGTGGCCACTTGATATAATTTGCATATAATTGAAAAGCACCGACCATTGCTAGAAACTGGACCACATGTTAGAAGTTAGACTCAATAATGATGTGTTTTAACTCACCGCTGATGTGTCAACTCAAAACATCTGATTGGGTGTGCTTTAGGTTGATCATGGTTTGATAGTTGAGCGGTTAGCAGTGGTACATTCTAATATTTTTTACTGGGCATGCAGCAGTAGGATTGTGTTTCTATATTTGGACAAAAGCCATGGGGGAGTTGATTTGTATGAAGCAATTTCTAATATGACGTGTGCCAACAGAAACTGATCACAAGATAATGATAAAAAACCTGTATTACCACAGCATTGTCATAGCGACAGACTGCAGGACAGTAAATGTATGGATCATTTAACAATCAGAAGGTTGTGAGTTCGATCCCACCCCCTGCAGTCGATATGTTGAGGTATCCTTAATGGACAAGATGACTCCTATTCACTCCTGAGGGCATTGCCAGCGGTGAGTGAAAATGTGATTCCTTGTGCAAAAAGCTGCACATTGCTCTGGTTGAATGATGACCTGAAGTATGTAGAGCGCTTTGAGGATTCCTAAAGACTGGATAAAGTGCTACATGAATACAGTCCATTTACCATTCAGAGTCTTTGTAAAGATGTGAGACTTCACATATATAATCCTGACACACACTCACACCTTTGTGAGCTGTGTTTTGCATTAGTGCTGAAACATGTGGAACATCTTCTCTTTTTCTGTTCATTTGACTCGAGAAACCAAGCAATTATTTAATGTGAGCACTCTTTTCAAGCACGCTCCTCTGGAATGACAGGTATGAGTGTTTTCTTTTGACCCTGCTATAGAGTGTATCATTGAAAGCATCGAGCTGAATAAATGTGTGTTTCGATTTCAGAAGCTACAGACGGATGTGGCTTTTATAAAGCAGCTTCCTGGTACCTTTATGTCTGTTTATTTCTGACAAGGCATACAGTACGTAACGCAGTAAATGTGTGTATGTTTATGTATGGAAACACCTGTGCTTCAGTGGACAAGCCTTTTGCAGTTTCACATTTGACTACATAAACTGACAAACACATTAGAACAGCACAACTGCAATAACAGACAGACTGCAGGATTCTGAAGGTATGGATTATTTATATTTCATTCTTTAATACTCAGATACAAAATGAAGGCTTTGCTTGACACACCTGTCCAACAACTAAAGTTACTACAAAGTCTACCTCTAAGATGGATGAATGCTTTGTGAATATTAATAACGGAGAAAACAAAACCTCCACTCATACTGATAGAAATGTGACTCAAATACTTAGACAACAAAGATAATAGGCTCGATTGAGATGAGCGAGACCGACGCAAACCTGCGCAATTGCGACCGCCGTCTTGCTAGTGCGTTGCATGATGGTTGTCACTATCCGATCTGCCGCCCTGCCCTATCTGCAGTGCGCATGTGCGAGATGGTCCGCCATTATTGGACAACTCCAATAGGACACTTGACACAGTGGCGTTTGGCAAAGCAGAAAAAGAACACTCAAAAAACCCGACAATATTAATCTGAACTTGAGAGAGATGAGTTATTGTTATTACAACGTGACTTCACTATTATTGAACAACTCTTTTTATTGGGTTCTTTTATTTGGGGTTAAGTACATTGTCAGAATAAGTGAGGAATGGATTTAACTTCTGTTAGACAGCTATATGCCATACATTTTTGCACACATTCACAGTAAATATTTATTCAGTATGATAGCTGTCTAACAGAAGTAATTGTTCCCTACAGAACATTTTGTGCTGTCATTTTAATGAACGTGTTTGATTGGAAAATGTTAGAAAAAAAGCTGCAAAATAACAGTAATCTCCCTGTAGAACTTTAGGTTCTGTATTTATTTTAGTGTTTGATCATAAAAATCTAATGAAAAAAATGTTAAATGTAACATTTTAAGACAATGGATTTTGAAAAGAGAGGAAACATCTGTAACATTAGTGTTTTCCTGTAAAATCTTTAAGGAAAATTCCTGTATTCATTCATGCATTTTTCTATGAGTATATCTTTTCGGCATTGCAGTTTGTAGCACTCCTCTCTCCTCCAGCTGCAGATTGTGACCAATTATTGATGTTTAGCTCGCATGACGGCGCGTGTCGAACTGTTCTGATAAAAACGACTCTGTAGCTCGTTGTCTACTTTGCTATGATTGTAAAATCATGTCGTCTGTATTTTTACAACATTATGTTCATGAGTTATTGACGTGCATGTCCCCTCGCTCTGAGTGTTCTCTTGAGGTGTCTTTCACTTATGTGAAACCTGTGCCTTTTGCCAAGCACTGATGTTATATCTTTATATTTAAGGCCAAGCTCAAAGTAAAATCGATGAACCGCTCCATTGTTGTGGTTTCTGTGTTGCCGAACTGACCCGGAAGTACATTGAGCTAAATGAAAAGTTTTGCAAAACATATATATATTTGGTTTTTTTCAACCAATTGTTTTGTTCTTCTCCATGACGCCTAGGGGGCTCCGTAGTTTAGAGGTTGCAGATATTGCAGGAACAAAATATTGAGAAAATGTGTGCAATAGCAGAACCAACCACATGCTATAACTTCCTACAGTTATTTGCAGTGTCAGCAGCTGTTTTTACAACTTACCACTGATCCACTTGGCATCAGGATCATGTAACTGGAAGTCTCTTTGAAACAGGTCATCCAGTGTCAGCTCTGAACCAAAAGGTTTACCAGCATCATCTACAGGAGAAAAATAAATAGTATAAACAATGAATTATCCCTAAAAATTAAAAAAGGCGGAGCTCACAAGGCCCCCGGAGCGGACAGTGTAAGGTGGATTTCCTGCTGTGTTTCCCTGGATGTTTGATATAGACCAAGTGCCATGCCAGCGGAACACCGCAGAGCTCAGGCTGAGCTTCGCAATGTCCCGCTAACATGGCTCGCAGACCCCACGCAGCAACCAGGAAATGACACCAGTAATCCTCCTCACACTGTCCGCTCCTCGAGCCCCGCAACGTCCCGCCAACACGGCTCCCAGACCCCACGCAGCATTCTCATCTGTTTGTCATTACTGGTGTCATTTTCTGGTTGCTAACAAACGCCATTTAAAACATAAACACTGATGTTCAGCTGTAACGGTGGTAGACTCATCAGAACAGAGTGGGCGAGCTGACCAATCAGAGCACAGTGGGCTCATACTGTAGGGAGGGGGGGCAGGAGCTCCAACAAACCGTTTAGGACAGAGATATACTCTACAGAGATGCTGTATGAGAAACCAATGTGAGTTTGGAAAATTGCACAATATAAATATATTCTAGTAGACCTCAACAGTGGAATTATGATCAGTAGAAATGGCCATGACATGGAACCTTTAAGTTTTATATTGACGCTTAAAATGCAGCTACAAACGTTCTACAAATCCCAAGCTATATCAAAACCACAGATGTTTTCAAATGTTTTTATATATAAGCACACACAAAATGACAAGTGATGAACAGTGAATGGATGAGGTAACATTTCTTAATATACAGTGGAGGAAATAAGCATTTGATCCCCTTGCAAAACATGTGTGTTAAGAATGTCACAAGGCTCAGGACCCAAACGCACAACACCAGAAAGAGGTCAGGATTAACAAGGTCTTTTAATTAAGGTCAAAACACAAAACGCTCACTTGGAGGATCAAAACTCTAAACAAAACCATCTACATGGACTATCAAAAATGAAACCAAAAGAGTCTATCAAAAATATACTTAACACGATCAAGGAATGACTGGCAGGCTTGACGAGACAAGACTAACTGGCACAGGACAAAGGGAGACGCAGACTATATATACACACACACTAGGTAAGGGGACACAGGTGGCAACAATTAAGGGAGGGGCTGACAATCACACTGGAGGGAAAAACACACAAGGGCAGGAATGCTCTGAAACGAGAGTGAAAGGTTACTACAAAATAAAACAGGAAATCACAAGACAAAGCAAAAGACAAAAGGACTGAACTAAATAAATTAACTTAACACAAATGTCTAGACACCACAGTACCCCCTTCTTTACGGACGGCCCAGAGAGTTCAGGATGGCTCTTGTAAAAATCCTTTATCAGGTTCTGGTCCACTATGAAGCTAGATGGGATCCACTCCCGCTCTTCCGACACAAATGTCTAGACACCACAATGTATTAGTACTTAGTGGAGAAACCCTTGTTGGACAGACAGAGGTCAGACTCTTCTTGTAGCTGGTCTCCAGGTCTGTGCACATCTCAGGAAGGATGTTGGTCCACTCCTCTCTGAAGATCCTCTCCAAATACTTCAGGTGTTGAGGCTGATGCTTGGCCTCTGGAAGATTCAGCTCCCTCCACAGATGTTCTATGGGATTAAGGTCCGGGGACTGGCTAGGCCCCTCCATCACCTAAATGTTCTTCTTCTTTAGCCACTCCTGTGTTGCCTTGGCCATATGTTCAGGGTCATTGTCCTGCTGGAAGACCCCTCCATGACCCATTTTCAGTGTCCTGTCTGAGGGAAGGAGGCTATCGGCCAAAATGTTACGGTACATGGCCCCGTCCATCCTCTCCTCGATGCCAGGAAGTGGTCCTGTCCCCCTCCTGTCAGCAGAGAAACACCCCAAAGCATAACGTTTCCACCTCCATGCCTGACGGATGGTGTTCTGGGGTTAACATCTCTCTTCCTCCAAACACAGCGGGTCTAGTTGATGCCAAAGATCAATATTTGTGTCTCAACTGACGACATCATCTTCTCCCAAGCCTTCTCTGAGTCATTCAGATGTTCATTGTCAAACCTCAGACGGGCCTTTCATGTTCTTCTTGAGCAGGGGGGGGCCTTCAGGCACTGCAGGATTTGATCCATTATGGTGTAGTGTGTTCCCAATAGTTTAGAAACACACACATTATTCTTCTGAATAATGGCACCAACGGTTGTCTCCTTCTCACAACCCATTCTCACGGCATTTCGTGTTATAGTCACGACATTTAATCTATTGATTCGTGTTCACCAACACGATTTTCCCCTTTTTTTGGTTTCACACAGAACGATTTTAAAAGCAATGTATTTCTATTGGTAGTATGTTTCGTGCCTGTAGCACGTCTTTTTGTCCGTTCGAGTCTTGGAAGACCGGAAGCTGTGGGGTTCATAAAAACATGTTCTTACTCAATATCAAGCCACGATTATTGTTTTTATTTTAAATCGTATAATGTCGGACTTTTTTTGTCGTCTGTGAGGAAAATAAATGGCTCAGAATACTGAAATCTGTATTTTTTAAAATATTTTTTTCCTTCTAATTTGTTCTTCTTTTCTAAATAACACACTGTTATTTACTCACCAATAACACACAATTATCCTTGTTTTTATTTATTTGTTTAATTCCATAATCTCTGGCTTTTTTGGCGTCTGTCAGGAACTGAATTTCAAAAAAAAAAAAAAAAAGTGTAATATTGATGAACACGAATCAATAGATTAAATGTCGTGACTATAACACGAAATGTCGTGAGACTGAGTTGCTTCTCACCAAGCTGCTTGCTGATGGTCTTGTAGTCGATCCCAGCCTTGTGCAGGTCAACAATCTGGTCCCTGAGGTCTTTAGACAGCTCTTTAGTCTTGCCCATGGTGGAGAGGTTGAAATCTGATTGATTGATTCTTTGGACAGGTGTTTTTTATACATGTAACAAGTTGATATGAGGAGTACTTTTTTAAAGGAAAAGGACTTATGTAACCGGTCTGTGGGAGCCAGAATCCTTGTTTGTTGCAAGGGGATCAAATTCTTATTTCCCTCAGTTAAATGCAAATAAATGTTTATCTTTTACATAATGTAAATTTCTGGATTTTCTTTTTGATAATCTTACTTTCACTGTTTATATAAACCTACCATTACAATTATAGACCGTCTATTTATTTGTAAGTGGGCAAATTTACAAAATCTGCAGGGGATCAAATACTTATTTCCTCCACTGTAAGTAGCTCTACTGCAAATGGCCAAAGCTTAATTTTGACTGCATGGAATAAAAAGCGTTTTGCTCTGCACTGTGAGTGATGGGTGTGCAGGGAGCCTCACCATTAGACAGCAGAACGATGGAGAGCCCGATGAGAGAGAGCACCCCCGCGATGACCAGCAGAGAGATCCCGATGCCCTTCCAGTTCTTATCTGACCCGATCGGCCCTGTGTCCTACACAGCAAGGGGAACAATGCATGTCAATACTGTTGAATCATATTAATAATGCTGAAAGAAGAATACAAAAGAATGCATTTGGAGGGTTTTAACCTGTTAAGCCCCAAGCCTGTTTTTCAGGTCTCAGGCTCGAAAATGACATTCCCAGAACAGATGACTATAGCTTCCCTTCTAAAAGGGTTAAATTAATAATCTTTTTTATTAAAGTAATGATAAACCTGTGAGTTGGATGTAGAAGAGTCAGAATCAATATAGATGTTTTTATTTTAAAGTAAATCCAGATGGAACATAGTAAAAAAATGTAAATTATAGTTTCCGTCCAAAAAAAAACATTACTTATAGTGAAACCACCCTTGAATGATGGGATAGTAGACTAAAAGCTTTAGGAATCCAAACTATAACATATAATAAGTACCCTGTATCAAGATTGATGTAAAAAAAAGTGAAATTTGACCTTTTTAGACCTATCTCTGGCACCCATCGGTCAATTTTGGTGATTGACATCTATTTTGAACCGTTAGAGCCAATATAATCAAAAAAAGGGGGGGGGGGGGGGGGGGGGGGGGGGGGGGGGGGGGGGGGGGGTGGGGGTCTTAAATCCATCTAAACATTACCATTGGTGAATGAGAGTGATGCGCAGCCAGCATGCCCAAACCGGAAGCTCTCTTACACTCTATATGAAAAGTACGTTTATTGACATATATGTTATGATGGATTATCAGTAATCATTTCTAAGTGACACAGACACATTGGATAAACCTTCAGCAGCGTTTATATGCGTTTTAATGCAATTGAACACAACTTTTTATCAGAAAACAGCAAAGGTAAGACGTATTTGCCGTTTTGGACCCGTACAGTGAAGTGTTGTCTTTGCTGGCTTTCACTGCAGTGAGTTCTGGTCGCATTGGAATCTGTGGAATCTCAGCTTTCATGTGATATCCAATTTGTGCAGATTGCATCAAGTATAAAAGATTGCTACCGTGAGTTATGTGCTAAGTGCGTTAGCACTCTTTCGCTTAGTGCTAATTCAGACACTTGGCGTTAGACTTGTGTTTTGTTTCGGTAAAAATGGTTCATATTGTCAGTTAGCTGAGTTTCTTCCCGTTAAGTGGGTATAACACATTCATAGGTTGTTAAATGTTAGAATGCCCTGAGACACAGTTTTGTGAATATTGTTGTGTTTTGCCCCCCCGGGCGGGCCATGGGGTTTATTAACAGGTTAAGTACCTTGAGCAAAACAGAGTACTCAAGCCGCTCATGCAGGGGCTGTGCATACATCTTTGTTTTGCTCCATGAAAATACAGTGGCAAGAAAAAGTGTGTGAATGCTTTGGAGTTTCCTGGTTTTATACATGAATTGGTCTTTTAATGTGATCTGATATTCATCTAAGTCACAATTATAGACCAACACAATGGGCTTAATCTAATAACCAGAACATAAATAATAGTTACTTTTTTTCATTTTCATTTCAATACACATACATTTAAATGTATAAACCATCATAATATTGGGGTTTACCCATTGCTATAAATACATTCAAACAACACTTAATACTTTTGAGTTAATGGGAGAGCTGATTTTGATTGGGTTAAGACTGCAACAACTGAAGAAAGTAAGATTCATTTCCGTCATCATTTCTCATAAAAAGCTTCTTTTTTTCATCTTTACTTCTTTTATTTTATTCAACCTCTTTCAGATTGAAGCGACTCACTGCCCGGGTTTGAAAGTCATGTTTCTTTTTCTACTTCTTCTATCAAAGTATTCAGTGTGGTTGTATTGAACACAAACAGGAAGTTAACAAAGTGCTGCAGATGTGTTTGTGAATGGTTGGTCCTTCAGTTTCTTCAAGGTTCATCACCCAGTGAGCTGATACCACTGTACGCTGTGAAGCGTACAGTGGTATCAGTCAAAATACATGCAACTCCTATTCAGTATCTAAAGAGACTCCTAAAGCCCCGATGCAGGCTGACATCAGACACTTCTTGCCTTATATACTTCCTCATCATTTGTAGCCCACAGACCTCAATACTGTATTTGTATTGAAAAAAAGGAACATTTGAATACAGATTTTCGTTAAGACTCTAAATCCTATTGTTAATTGTCAATTATAAAGACATATGTTTACAAAATGTCTCACAAATCTATTTTACTATTGTATTTGTACTGACTGTTACTTCACTTCAGACTGTATCATCATTGTAGGTGCAACACATACATTATCTCTGGAGAATTTCTGACATTTTATAATGCTGCCTCCTCATTTTACATTTGCCCTTTATCTGTTGTTGTAAAACCTTATCAATACAGGATTTCTGATTTGATGAAGGTTATACAACACACAAAACACCAATAGGTTTTGGTTACACCCTAAATGTGTAAATAATTGTCCTTTAAAATGTAACATGGCTTTTCATGAACACTTTCTGTTGTTCCAAAAAGTTATTAAAGACCAAGAATGTACCTTATAAAGTGGTATTGACCCTGAAAGGTAATACCTGGAAGCAACACAAATCAGACCCAGGACACACCTCTTGTTCTCTCTGTGTCTCTGTGTTCTCTCTGTGTTCTCTGTGTTCTCTGTGTTCTCTGTGTTCTCTGTGTTCTCTGTGTTCTCTGTGTTCTCTGTGTTCTCTGTGTTCTCTGTGTTCTCTGTGTTCTCTGTGTTCTCTCTGTGTTCTCTGTGTTCTCTGTGTTCTCTCTGTTCTCTGTGTTCTCTGTGTGTGCTGTGTTTCTCTGTGTTC